CTTAAAATCGAATAGAGTACTCCAGCCATAGTAGGCACTCAGAACATGAAAGTGAACAAAGAAATGTTTATTATCTGGCACCTTGAAACAGAAAAAATAGTAAAAAATGGTAAATTCAAATCTGAAATAATCTTCACTTTCTTTTTTTCTGGAAGTGCCTCTTCCCAAATCCCTTGTTCTTCCTTTTGTTTTGTTGTGTATGTTTCATGGAGGTAGAAGATTAGTACCGAGACTAAGATTTAAATAGAGAGATACACTAACGTTCTGTGTATTCACTTTTGAACAGAGTAAGTCTGAACAGGAGCAGTTTTAAGGCAAGCTGTGTGAAGAGTATAATTGTTGAGTTAACATTTATCAACTTTTGGTTTTCCTTCTTTTCTTGCCTGTGACAATTAACAGCCATTGAACTCTTCATTTGTCCAAAACCTATGTTTGTCCTATCCTGAACCATGGTAACTGTTTGACTGTGGGGTGAGATGGGGTTGGGCTGGCAGCATTATTTTAAAGACACTGGTATTACAGTGGATTTCCTTTTTTTTTAATTTTGGGATTGTGTACCAAGATTCCAAGATTGAAATTATTTTCAGAAATGCAAGTAACTACCCAATATTATGCTTTTGGAAATTGAATCTAGACACTTAAGGGTGTGTGAATGGTGAATTATATTTTTATTTAATTTTCTGGTTTGGTCCCATTGGTATTTAATGATACCAAAACAACCTCTAAAATCACAACCTAAGATTGGAGTATTAAAGTACATAATGGTTATATATGTCCAAAAACTGTTGTATGCTCTCAAAGTCTGAGACTTTTAAGCAAAAAATTGAGGCATACCAGATGTTTAAATATGGAAAATTATACAGTAAGTAAGACTTTTTAAAGTTGAATTATCTGTTGCATTTAGTTCACCCCTGGGTTGCTGAAAATATTTATTCAATTTCAAGTTGTTTGGAAGTTACTGGCTTCTGAATTCTTAAAAAGAAATTTAGATGTGTTAATTTATAGGTCACAAAGTAAGATGATCACTCTAATCCAAGTACTTTACATCTAGTCAAATTGGCTTATTAAAACTGTCTTGTTAGAATATGTGACTTGAGCAGAAAAAAAAAAAACAAAAAAAGAAAACCCACACGTCTTTTAAAACCACAAAGGATATTTTTTTTCCAAGAAAATGTCAGTAATTAATTAAAACTCCAGAGTTCAGCTAAAAGAGAGACTATTGTCAAATATTCACTATGTTCATACCTGTACAGGGCATAAAATCCATCTGTTGTAAATTAATACCTTTATTATGCATCATGTGGGCAGGTGGGCTTCACTGTGCTGTGATTCTGCTGTCTGGTTGTGATGGAGAGCTCCTCTCCACTGTTGGTGCTGCAGCAGTGTATCCGGGAAGCCACATGGCGGCAGATCAGCAGTCACACTGAGATTGAGTTATTCTAGTCAGAAACACAAAAACCTTACTCATCAGGATTGTGAGGAGAGACTTAGAATAGCCCCAGTCAGTTCTGGCCTTGGTTTCCCACTAGCCTCCTCTCTCCGGGCACCCTCACATTATTTCTCTCCCAGACACTTCCCATCTTTGGTACCCACTTCTGGCATGTACCGATTGCATGTAGAATAAGCCATACATAGATAAGATTTATGCAAGTTGGATATGTTTTTAAATATTTTTATTACATATTCAAAAATAGATTATTACTCTTCTTCATCACACCCTCTGGACTCTTATTTTTTTTTTTTTTTAATTATCGACTGACCCTCCTGTGAGTATCTATCTATCACCCAGTCTAAGGTTGGGCCCCATCTGATACTAGAAACTGTCCCAAGAAACCTGACACTGGGGAATGCTGCCTCACACATGGCTGGCACCACCATGACAGAAGCACTTCATTCTACTGAAGCAAAGGTGGCCAGTGTTTAATTACTTTATTTCCTCACAGACCTAATATTTACATTCAGGTGAACTGTGTTTAATATGTAAACTCTGTTTTGCAAAACAGCAAGAGTTCAAGGGTAAAATGTGGGCTGGGCAGGAAAAGCAAAATTTTAAAAAATGGTTTCAGAAGCATGACTAATTTTGTCTTTTATGTGTGTGTGTCTGTGTGTGGGTCTGCCTGCTTTGCAGGGAAGACTTCCTGTCCCAAAGGAAGTGAACCGCAAGAAGAACGATGAGACAAACGCTGCCTCCCTGACTCCACTGGGCAGCAGTGAACTCCGCTCCCCAAGAATCAGTTACCTCCACTTTTTTTAATCGTAACACCTCCATTTGTATTACATATGGTGTATGGGTATTGATGAGGTCATGGTATCATATATGGGATTTTTTTCTGTGTAAATCATCAAGTATAAGAAGAAACTATGGGACTCTGAGCCTTGCTTTAGAGAATTTACAGTGGACAAATAGGTATCATCAAACCAGTTTTTAATCATTCTGACTCAAGTGAAAACGCTCAGAATTTCACACTGTGAATCCACGTTTACAACCCTTACAGGTGGGCCTTCAGGCCTGGTTCGCTACAACAATGTCTTCCACAACTCAAACTCCCACCGCGCTCACACAACCGGTCCACTCCTGCCTTTTCACTCACACAGCTCCCGACTGCTTCTTGCAGAGGCTGAGAGTCCCCCCTTTTTTTTTCATTTAGATGTAACAAACCTAGTAGTTTATGTTCATCAATTGTCTGTATATCTCTATATTTTATCCATGTACTCTTTTGATGTATAGAAGTAGTTTGAAACTCATTGTTTCCTTGTGGTAAGTGACCGAGATGCTGCCACAGGACCTGAGACACTGATGAATGGTGCTATTTTGGACTTTCAACATGCTCCTTGGCGAGGTAGCTCTGATGGAGTTATTTTTTATTTCCATGTTCTAAGAAGGTGTTGGTACTCTGTTTCCCTGAATGTTGTTCTCTAGACTGGATTGACTTGTATTCCTTGTGTCTTCAGTGTGGCTTTCTTCCTCAGTGTTGTAGGTTGAGCGAATGCTACCAGAGTGTGAGAGACAACTGTCTCGTTGACTGGCACTCACGGACATGCAGTCACGGTAGCGGGAGCAATCACAAAACTGTAATTTACTTACCAAATCTCTTCCTTTCCGTAGCCTCGCCTGCCTGACTTAGAGAAAGAAAAGCAATAATTTTACAGGCATTTTGAGGTGTCTCTTTGGGTTCTTTCTGTTTGAAAGGATACTTGTGGAAAAAAAGAGCAAAACCTTTTTAAATAAATTCCCCCTGAAAAAAACCCCAAAACACTGGCATCTGAGTAGGAATATGAAAATGACACCTTTTCCAAATATTAAATTGGAAAGCAATGTCTTTACAAAATCATAATGCTTTTTTAAAAGGCAGAGCACTCTTTTTTTGGCAATTTTGATAAGCAAGGTGTAGATTTACATTTTTGTCCTTGCTCCCAACGAAATGGATAAACAAAAATAAAATACCATCTACTCATGGAATGTTGTTGTGTTAGCCAGTCTGAAAGCCCACCTTAATTTTTATATAACTGTCTTTTAGCTCTTCTTTTGACAGGGCAGGCCTTGTTCTGAACTGTTTCGCTTCTGACTGTTAAACACCGATGACGCATGCACTGCACTTCTTCGTTTTCTTCTTGCTCCCCCATTGGCCTGAGTTTCTTGTGCATTCCTCCTCTCCCTCCTTCGTTAGAATAGGTATATCAGCTGTGTAAATAGAGCAAGAAAACAGTATTCTGCATCTGTGGCATTTATGTAGAGTTGCAGTTGTGTACTGCTGAAAATGCAGGCTTTTGTAACAATGTGATCTTTACTGATGCACTCATGACAAGTACCCAATGTATTTTAGCTATTTTAGTAGTATTTGTTCAATAAATATGCAAGCTGTAAGGTAACTGTCTGATTTGGCTCATCATTGAAGAGGCCTAGTTTTGAATGCCTTCTCTGGTTCTTGATAATTCGTGTGTTCCCAGAGTCCCAGAAGTCAGTCAGGCCAGCAAACCCAAGGGCAAATATCAAAAGAGAGAGAATCAGCTCTGCCTTTCATGCGTTTTCCCTTTTGAGGATTTTATGAGATTAGGGGCTAGGCAGTGGCTCATTAAGATGGTATTTGCAGAGCTGCCTCTGGACACAAAGGAGAATTAGACCAAGATCCTTTTATTTCTACACTTTTTCTCCCTTCCAAGGCATTCCCATACACTTCAGAACTTACTCTTTCTCACTCCTTGCCATTAAGACCCACTGTGTGGTATTCTTTATCCCTGCCAAAAGAGATCTGACCTCACTTCTTCATGGACTGTTTGCACTTTTCCTCAGACAAAAAGCTTAAACTTGTAAGAGGATAAAAATTTGAGACAGAATTTAAAGGCATTAAGACTTAATTCATGTGTACCCAGATACCTGGAACCTACCAGATGATAAGGTGATGGTGAGCAGAGCCTTCTAGAGGTCTCATGTGACCCTGAAACCTCGCAGTTCAGGGGATTCATGCACTCTCTGTGCATGAGAAATATCTTCTGGTTTCTCCTCATCCATTCTGGGAGTGAAACTTTTTAACTTGGCTTGTACACAAGTTGCTTATTTGGCTGGTTGGGTTCAGATGACATTAGAGTTTCCCCTCAACAGAGACTAAGGAACAGACCTCTGAGATAAAAGCAGAGAGAGAAAAAACAGCCAAAGGGAACATTTCCCCTGCAGTGGGAGCTCAGCCTCTGGAGAGTGGGCATCAGATTCTCTCTGAGAAATCTTGGGTCTTAATACGTGTGTTATGTCAGGAAGGACTTTTACATTTGGGGGTTACTGAGCTTAATTTGAAATTAATGCACATCTCAGATTTTGGTTAAGTTTCCTATTTACCCTCAACTTTTATTAAGAGAAAGGAGCCTTAGGGCAGAGCCAAATTCTAGCTGCTTACCAGATCGTTAGAATTTGTTCATTCTGAAGGAAAATTCTTAAAAATGACATACCACCACCATTTTGAGTATTAACCTCTGGATATAATAAGGGAAGTTCTCCTTCAATTTAATTACCTTTCTTTTTTTAAAATTTTTTATTTAAAAAAAAAAACCATCATCTGAAGACTCACGTGGGGCTGGAGAATCTGCTCCCAATACAGGTTAGTCCATGGCTGCTGGCAGGATGCCTCAGTTCTTCCACTCATGAGCTTCTCCCTAGTGCTGCTTGAGTGTCCGCATAACTTCTGGCTTCCTGAAGAGCAAGTAATTCAAGAGAAAGCTGAGAGCAAGCTAAAATGCTATGACCTATTCTCAGAAGTCACCATCATCTGTCATATTCTGTTCATTAGAAGCAAGTCGCTAAGTATAGCCCACACTCAAGGATGAAGGAAATTAGTTTCTACCTCCTAAAAGGAGGAATACCAAAGAATTTATGGACATGTTTTTAAATTAGCACATGATCTGAAGTTGAAGAGCTCAGGGTAATTATAGGTCAGAGTCTGGAAGTAAGAAGGGCTGAAACTAGCATCACAGCTACTTCTTTCTATTGAAAATTTTTTACAGTCCTTGGAAACGGCATATGAGGACAGCATCCAGGAACTATAATACTGGGATTGCATAGCCTCCATTGGTTAATCCATGTTCGATTAGACCCAATAATAATATTGAGAGAATGTTATGAGAAGCTGTAAAAACAGGGGAGCTGGAATAAATGATGTTTAAAGTTCCATCCAACTCTATGGATTGTGGGGTTTGCTGATGACAATTCCTCAGCCTCCATAAAGCTTAAAGTAATAATTGACTCTGCACTTCAAACTTGAAAAACTCGTGTGAGGATCCAACAATGTTTTGTGAAGGGTTATAAGAACTGGAGAGATAGCTGGGCTCACTTCAGAAGACCCAAACTTTGATTCAAGACTGCTTTGTTCTCTCACCAGAGGCAAACATATCACTATGTTGCCTTTGGGAGGAGATGGCTAACAACCATTGAGCTGACATAACCTGGAGATTTGTTTTGCAATGTGTTGTATAACAATGTTGATTTAATTGCCTACATTTACAAATCAGGTGATTTTACATGAAAATCCAGGTAGAAAAGTGGAAAATATAGCAACAGTGGGATTGGAGGTGAATAGCTGCCTCCACCTGTGTATGAGGCACATCCTCTCTTTTATCAAACTCTCATCACCTCTTTTCTTATATCCTGTCTGCTTCATTGATTTATATCATCTGCTTGCCTCTGTTGGTATGGCAGTTAGCAACACTAATCTTCTGGTTTGGGGAGGATGGTGCTGCACTTATTTCCACCAACAAAGGCCCAGGGGACCTTTGGCACTCATTGTTTGATAGCAGGAACACTTGCAGGATGATGAACACCAGACTGGAATCAGAGGTTCCTCAATGCTACTCAAAACTTCTCTGCTGCAATTCCAACTCTACCTCTCTGGGCCCTCTTTAGAATCCTTTGATTATCCTCCTCCAGGGATTGAGATCACATGATAATCTTGGATTGGGTCAGGTTAATTTATATACAGGTATGATAAATTCATAATTTTCAAACCGAGATATGTGTACCTAAAGGTATGTGATGGCTTTTCACGGACTGCATGCTCAGGACAGTTTTCAAGAAATTAATTTCCAGATCCTCTATATACACTCTTTCCTTAAATTGATCTGCTGAGAATGAGTCTTTGTTCATACTGTTTCTTTTCCCACATAACAAAAAGATGCAGGGCTATCCATCCCATATCTTAATATAATACATTGCTCTTAATATGACACCAAAAACCTCAGATGTACCAAACAGAGGAAAGGTTTCTTTGATGATTAATCATAAAACCATAGAGCCTTGGGCTTTCACCTCTTACACACATGTTAAAGCTATGATGTTAGATAACATAGAAATTGGGGATTTGGACTCAAAAATAGATTTGCAGAATTCGGATATATGATAAAGTGGAGTAATGGTAACAATGACAATTTTTTTTTTATGGCTTTTTTTTTCTTTTCCTGATTCTTGTCAAAGAATTTCTTGGTCTTGAGGGAGAGCCATGGGAGAGTGAAACAAAGAAAATTAGTAGAAGGCACTGAATGCCAAAAAATGTCTTCTTTATATAATTGTAATCAATTATTTCCACTATTGTCAGTATCCTTTGATGATAGGATGTATCTTGACTGGGAAAAAAAGTAACTTGGAAGAGCTAAAGCAGTATAGATTTGCCATGCTGATTATTTTAAATGTAACCAGAATGCCTTCTGGGAATGCCAAATTTTTAGAAGATGCAGTAGATAGAACCCAAGGATAAAAACTTTCACATGGTTCTTTCAGATTTGATGTGCATTTATTAATAAAGTTGTCAGAACCCATTGTATCAAACCATAACATGAAACATTTATTCAATTATATTCTTGTCTTAGTCTGTTTTCTGTTGCTGTAACAAAACACCAGACTGGATAATTTATTTCAAAAAAGAAACATTCAGCTCATGGTTCTGGAGACTGGGAAGTCCAAGAACCTGGCACTGGAATTTGCTCAACATCTGGTGAGGGCCTTCTTGCTGCCTCAAATTGTGATAGAAGGGTGGAAGGGCAAAAAGTGCATTTCAACTCAGGTCTTTCCTCTTCTTATAAAGCCTTGAGTCCCATCATGGGGTCTACCCCGTCAACATATGAATTTGAGGATTAATTTTTCAACATACAAAACTTGGGGAATACATTCAAACTATAGTTGTTTCTACCATTTTATCTTATAACGTATTTCTTGTTTAATCATTCTCCAGAGCCAGTCAGCGGCATTCAATTTTACTAGAGATATACCATGCCTTTTATCATTTTCCTACTTTATATGAGAAATAGTATATTGGTCATCTTGTTTTTATAACTTAAACATGGAAAAATCAATTATATCTTTATCTTAATTGTTTTTAGTGATCAGTTTCACAAGATATACTTTTAGTTCTCATTGATTTTTATAATATTCCTCAAAATAGCTATTTGAATTGAAAAATGAAAAACTTTTTCTGACAGAAAGTGTATCTGATTTGGCATACCAGTTTGACAGTGAAGATTGGCCCTGCCAATGAGGTTTTATGACAGATATTTTTCATAAACGAGCTAAATCTGCAACTCCAAATTAGTGGCAATACATTTAAAACAAGAAATAAGATCAAAGCATTTTATCAAAAAGCATTGTTTTGGCAAACATGTAATAAAACTAAAAATTTGTTTTTCCTGCCATTTCTGGTGATACGGCTTTTAAAAGGTGGGCCTAAGTACAAGTGTTACAGCACAATTAACAATAATTTGATAAATCTTAGTAAAGCTCTCTTGGTGTACTTCCCAGAAATTGAGAAAGTAAATTATTCAAATTGCTGGAGAACAAATCTCTTTGCTAGTCAGGTGCTTCCTAGTTCACTGTTTAAAAGAAATGAAGAAGGACTTTATCAAATTGTCATGTGACTGAAGATTAAAAATATTTTCTAATAGACCATTATATAAATGTTGACATATAACATAGAAGGAATTCAAAGAACTGAATTACATTGCTGTAATAAAACACTCTCAATTCCTTCAACTTACATCTATAAAAACAAAACAAAAAAGAAATATAATTGATACCCCGTATTTCAGCAGTAAGTAATGTTCATCTACAGATAAATGAACTAACTGAAAAAAGTTTATCATCTCATGAAAGGATGCATTTGCAATATAATTTTACTTTTTGTGTTTAATAATTAAGTTTATGTTTAATCAGTAGTGTATTGATACTTGCATAGACTTTTTTAATGTTCAGAGCTTTATGGTAACAAAATAAAAGTAAAAAATTGAATTTAGGCAGATAAATGTGATAGTGCAAGTAGTAGTTTCAAACAAAATCATGTTACATTAAGGTAAAGTTCTTTGGAGGAAATTGAATAAAAATTTAATTTTGAGTAGAAAAAGAAAGTCAAATTTCTAAAAGTTATGGAAGTATTTGTTTTTAAAAATGGAATGATGGTGGGTTATCCATTGTCATGGTGTTTAGATTCAACTGTATACATTATAAGAGAAATTCAACTTTCATTTTAACATGAAAACATTTATAATATGCCCCAAATTACATCCTTTAAAGTGTTTAAATTTATGATGAAAGACATTACTATTCATAAAAGTTACATGACGGTACATACTTTAATACAGTTCTTACAGGGGATATAAAAGCAAAAGAGTTTGAAAACCTCTGAGCTAGGAAAGAAACCTAGGTGCTAGGTTTTGAGGAAGTCACTCCTGGACAGAAATACTTCCCATCTAGTCTCAGTGCCTGAAAATTTCTCCCATTAATTCTTTTTGATAGAAGCCTTGAAGGGCACTGGCTATTAATTTACTATACTGCAGGGACCAAGACCTGAGGAAACAGCACCAGTGAATTTTGATGGGGAAGGGAAAGAAAGATCCAGACTCCCTGTCAGTGGTCAAGCAGGTCAGGCTGGATGGCTTCAAGGCACTGACCACACAGGGGAGTGATCAAAGAGGGTCCCAGAGAAGATGTCTTTCTGGGCTGCAAGTTCAATGAGTGTATAACAGATCAGCAACTCTTCTTGGAGCCTTTACATCATTCCTCCTTGACACAAATCTTTCTACTGCTACTTTTTTAAAATTTCTCCAGATTCTTCATTGTATCTCTATCCAGCATATTCAAAAGGGCTGAGTCAATGATTCCTCCCGTAGGAGAAGGGGGCACAAGTCAGTGAGAGAAGTGGGATTATACCTCAGGTCGCAACCCTGTAGTACTGGAGATCCCAGTACCCCTAAGAAAAGCCTATACAGCAGCAAGCAGCTCATGAATCAGGGCAGAAAAAGAGGGTCATCTTTTCTTTTACTGCATGTCTCCATTAGGCTTCCTTCTGAACATAACTTCATAGAAGGAATATGAAATTAATCTATCCCCTTGCACAGTACATGGTGCCATTAATGCATAGCTTAGCTATAAACAGGAGGTCCATGTGGCTATGTGAAAGCCTCATAGAAAGAGAATTCTAATCGCTTGTAATCTTTTTTGGCTAAGATCAAGTGTAGTGGAGAATTCTAAGAATGCATTAATTTGCTGATTTCAAGTTGAGCAGCTTTATTTATTAGCTGCAACCTTTCTGAGCCCAGTGCTGCTATTAATTTCCACCAACACATTGGTCCCAGCTGAGCGCAGGGCTGCACAGAATGAGGCGGCTCTTTCTCCAATGCAACAGCCTTTCACATCCTGCTCCCCTTGTCCTTTTA